ACAACGCTCGCTACAGTCACGGCCAGCCGTGAAGCAGCAGTACTCTGACGTTATGCAGAAACATATTGCCAAGGGTTACGTGAGACGCGTGGACCCGGATGAGATAGCCAAAGACGGCAACGACCAGTGGTACCTACCCCATTTCCCGGTAGTACGCTCAGATAAATCCACGTCAAAAGTGAGAATAGTATTTGACGGTGCAGCCCGCTGGGATGGACACTCCATCAACGATGAGATGTTTACAGGTCCTGCACTTCAAAACGACATGACCAGTGTGTTGATCCGATTCTCACTGGAACCAGTTGCGCTTGTTGGTGATGTGTCGGAGATGTTCCTCCAAGTCAAACTGGCGGAACGTGACCAGCGCTATCATCGCTTTCTGTGGTATGATGACAATGGCCAAGTGCAGGTGTATCAGTTCACCCGTGTGCTCTTCGGCGCTAAGGCGTCACCGTATCTGGCAGGACGAGCGGTGAAAGAGGTCATCAAGCACCACGGTGATGAGTACGACTCTGACGTCGTGCAGTGCCTAAGCAAAGACCTCTACGTTGACGACATGCTGTCATCACTACCATCCACACAGCGTGCCATCCAGGCCAGAGAGCAAACGCAGCAGCTACTTGCCAAGGGCGGTTTTCACATGCGAAAATGGCTGTCGAACAAAGCTGAAGTGATGAACACCATACCAGAGGAAGATAGGTCACCTGATGTCGTCCGAGATGTGGACAGTGACACCAGCCTCCCAACTGTCAAGACTCTCGGCGTCAGTTGGAACGCCGAGAAGGATGCCTTCACCTTCCAGCATCAAATGAAGGACATCACGACATTCACCCGACGCTCTGTGTTGCGCGGCCTGGCCTCCATATTCGATCCACGTGGCCTGATCTCGCCATACGTCATCACGGCTAAGGTACTCCTGCAGGATGCCTGGTTGCTGGGACAGGGATGGGACGACCTGCTGCCAAAGGAACAAGTCGTCAAGTGGCAGGGTTGGTTCCAAGGCCTCCCAGACCTGAGTAACCTGGAGATCAGCCGCTGTTTCAAGGATCCACAACAGCCATCCGAAGACGCCAGTCTTTCCGTGCACTGCTTCTCCGACGCCTCAGATCGGGCGATAGCAGCCGCTGTGTATGTCAGAGCCAGCTACCCAGACGGTACCACCCGAATAACGCTAGCGATGTCGAAAGCGAAGCCGGCACCAGTGAGGCGACAGACGATCCCGCAGCTTGAACTGAGAGCAGCTGTGCTTGGCGTTCGCGTTAGTCATCTCGTCGCTGAATCCATCGGTATCCCAGTGTCAGCTCACACATTTTGGACGGACTCGATGAACGTCTTGGGCTGGGTCCAAAGCCACAGCCGGCGCTACAAAGTGGACATTGGCAACCGAATCTCTGAGCTCCAGACCTCAACGAGAGCACACCAGTGGCGACATGTTCCCGGAAAGAACAACCCTGCAGACAAAGGTACTCGTGGTTTGTCTGCTGCATTACTGTGCCGTGATGCAGTGTGGTGGTCCGGTCCACAGTTTCTTCGCCAGCAGCCAGATGAGTGGCCTCAGATGAAGGAAGTCAGCACATCCTCGCTGCCTGGTCAGCTCAAGACGGCGCTAGTTGCAGTCGTCCCTCCACCCTCCGAGATCCTGGGTCGCTTTAGCACATGGTCACGACTGGTACGCGTGACAGCATGGTGCAAGCGATTTGTGGCAAACTGTCGGCAGGCAGTCAGTGACAGCAAGTCCGCGAAGGGGGATGCCGCATCGGACAGCCAGTCGTCCAGCACGCCAGTGAGAGTGCCAGTACAGCTTGGCGGCACCCGCTCCATCAGTGTTCCAGTTCTCAGCACTGACGAAGTATCAGTAGCAGAGCGGCACTGGATTGCAACTGCCCAGAAGGATTGCCATGGTACAGCATACCATCGTCTACAGTCTAGGCAACCGATGTTGAAATCGGATCCTCTGGCACCTCTCTGTCCCCAGTTCGATAGTGCAACAGAGTCACCCCTGATGACGGTAGGAGGTCGATTGCAAGCTACAAAGAACATGCCAAGTGGCGTACGCCACCCAGTCATCCTACCAGCAAAGCACCGAGTAACCCAGCTGATAATCGAACAGGAAGATCATCGGTGCTTCCATGCAGTTGGGCCACAGCATCTTCTGGCCAATCTGCGACAACGCTACTGGATTGTTCACGGAACATCAACAGTCAAGGTCGTTCGAAGCAACTGCGTCACTTGCCGTAAGAACCGTGCGGAGCCAGCGTCCCAGATGATGGGCCAGATTCCAGACTTCCGAGTTGCAGGCTCGTTGAAACCGTTCAGCCGTACAGGAGTTGATTACGCGGGTCCCTTCCTGACCAAGCAGGGCCGAGGTAAGACGCAGGCTAAGCGGTACCTGTGCCTGTTCACATGCCTTGAGACTCGTGCCTGTCACCTAGAGGTATCCTATGGCCTCTCCACTGAGTCATTCCTGTTAGCATTTGAGAGATTCACAAAGCGCCGTGGTGTCCCGCTTGAAATGGTCAGCGACAACGGGACCAACTTCACTGCCGCGGAGCGAGAACTCCGTGAGGCCGTCCGGGCCATGGACAAGGAGAAGATCGAGAAGCGACTGGTCAGTGATGGCGTGCGATGGCGCTTCAACCCACCTAGAGCACCACATTTCGGCGGCGTATTCGAATCCCTCATCAAGACGGCTAAGCGCGGACTCACAGCAGTACTTGGGAAAGCGGACGTCACAGATGAAGAGTTAGTGACTGCCATGTGCCAGGTTGAGGACATGATGAACTCGCGCCCGCTGACAGTTGTAAGTGCCGATGCAGCTGATTTGCAGCCTCTAACACCAGCACATTTCCTCGTCGGACGACTCGACCCACCAATGGCTCTGGAAGTGAAAGCAGACGAGCACCCCAGCAGAGACCCACGCAAACGTTGGTTGTATGTTCAGCGGCTTGTAGCAGACGTGTGGAACAGGTGGCGAGATGAGTATGTTCCCTTGTTGAATGTCCGTCGTAAGTGGCAACGTCAAGGTCGCAATGTAGCCGTAGGTGACATCATGCTGTGTCTTACATCAAACACTCCCCGTGGAACATGGCCCATGGGTAGAGTCACAGCAGTGCATCCTGGTGCAGACAAGCTCGTCCGAGTAGTGGATATTAAGATCGGCGACAAGATCTACCGACGGTCTATCCACCATCTAGTACCTATTCTGGACACCGAGTAGTTTGTGCCTTGTGTATCTGAAGTGCTACAGGCAGCCCTGTGGCAGTACTCTCTCTCTCTCTCTCTCTCTCTCAACCTATGAAGTTTTTCTTTCATCATACAGTACCGTAGTAGTACTCACTCGTCACAGTTTGTTTGCTGACCCTGTGCTCGTGAGTGAAGGGGGATATGTTCTGGAGTATTCCCAGCTTGTGGTGAATCTTGCATGACCTTTCATTGTACTCAGGTTTCATTTCTTTTATTCTAGTGCATGCTGCTGGCGCCTGATGTATTGACTATTGGCAGTATTGCTACCGCAGGCCAGTCTCAACCTTCGCATTGTCTGAGATTCAAGTAGCGTATCGTTTGATGCATGTGCTGTCTCCATGCTATCTAGTCGTAATATATTCACTCGTCTTTGCATTTGTGCACAGTCCTGTGGATACTCGCAGGCTGCGGTTGCGCTCTCGCTTTGGTCATTCTAGAATGTATACTTCCATGCCTTTGAAGTTTTTTAGTTGTCAGTTTTGAACTGTAGGAAGCAGTTTACAGTTTGTGTTCTTGCAGTTTTATCTCAGAGGAGAAAGTTCTTGGTCTCATACTGTTACGAGTTGCTGTTGTATCTGGTTGAACGCATGCCGGGGCAACAGAGGGCAGCATGAGTAGCCAGAACATTTTATAACAGCATAATTAAAAGTGTGAACAAAAAAGGAAGTGCTACAGCATTACATAATAGGTGTCAAACATAGTGCTAACATATTATAACTGAGTGCAGGCACAAAGCATGAGGTGATACAGTGCAACATGACACAACATTTACATCTGATAACCAGCTACGAGAACAACTTTAGCGCGACTACATGCTTCTTTTGTTTACAAAGAACAGGATTATGCACACGAATACATACAGCTTCCAGAACCTTCAACTGCTTAACATAACTTGCACGGCACAAAACAGAAAAGTGAGAATCATCGTACACACTAAGACAATCTGGACAATCACGTCCAGATTGTCTTAGTGTGTACGATGATTCTCACTTTTCTGTTTTGTGCCGTGCAAGTTATGTTAAGCAGTTGAAGGTTCTGGAAGCTGTATGTATTCGTGTGCATAATCCTGTTCTTTGTAAACAAAAGAAGCATGTAGTCGTGCTAAAGTTGTTCTCGTAGCTGGTTATCAGATGTAAATGTTGTGTCATGTTGCACTGTATCACCTCATGCTTTGTGCCTGCACTCAGTTATAATATGTTAGCACTATGTTTGACACCTATTATGTAATGCTGTAGCACTTCCTTTTTTGTTCACACTTTTAATTATGCTGTTATAAAATGTTCTATTTTTGTACACAGTACCCTCAGTTCCGATACTATTCACTGATGAGCGGAACACGAAAATCGATTTTGAATAATATAAAAATCCTTAAAAATTCCATGAACTCGTTGTTGTCTGGCCATGTCTGCATCTATTATACTCCTAATTGCGCTAATAAAATTATTATTATTATTATTATAATTTTTGCTTTTTGTACTTGTTAGCTGCTGTATTTCTACCTGAAACCATATTAGCTACATGTATATAAGTGTGTGTTTTAGTTATTACATTTTTAAGTGACGACGTTCCACTGATGACAGTCACAAGAAAACGTTATGGAACTTGACTTTCTTCATTTTTGCTGTTGTTATGAGTGCGCAATTTATCTTATTTTTGCCATTTTATTATTATTATGCAGTAAGCTTTTTTTACCATAACCTTCTACTACTTTCGGTACAGGTATGTATCCCTGTTCTTTAGTGTCCAACGTACTGTACCTGCAGCATGTGTTGTCGTCATAGCATGCCATGTCAATACAACCAGTCCTAAGGCAAGGCTGGCGCCGTGGCCACGGGACATCTGCAACAATAACAGAAGGGTTCAAAATACTGAAGTACAGTCGAACCTCTTTGAGACAAACAACAAGGAACTGGTGGTATTTGTTCGCAATAACGGGAGTTCTCCTTATCCATATGTCCTACACAGTGATGAATCCAATAGCGCTTGAATTATAGTTCTTCTTAAGCGAAAGTTTGTCTTATCAGTGTTCTTCGAGGTTTCACTGTACCTGTAACGAATGATGGCTGTTTGGAGGCCTGCTCCACCACATAAAAGCTCTCAACATCGGCTGACCTTTCGGCCAAATACCTACAGTACTAGGAGCTCACCCGAATGACATGGTACTTAACACTGACTTGGAAATCTCGCATTTCATATTTTTAGTCACACTTCACCCCCATATACCCAGTGACTTTTTTCTTTTTTCTTTTTACAAAAATAACATTATTTTTGACGGCACAAAGCAGCAAGCCTGCAAGAAAGCACCACTCCCTGCTCAATACACAGTGTTTCGGGGAATTCACCCCTCATGCAGTTGAGCTTGAGTAGGCTGACGAACGTTGTGCTTAGCGACCAACATTCCTATAAACTTGTCGCCGAAGTCGCTACCACTGTAATTGTACATGCATATCATTATTTAGTGGCAGATTTAATCTTGCGACACTCCGGGCAGGTCCAGTTCTTGCGCTTTGGCTTACTCTTCAGCTGCAAACAAGCCATGTGGAACAAACGAATACTGCAATCGTTGTTGGAACATCGCAGTACCTCGCCAGCCTTCACAGACTTGCAGTAGCAAAACTCCGGAGGGCGTTCTTGATCCGCAGTAGATGTTGTACTGGCAGCACCAAGTGGTTCCGAGGCTGATGTAGCCGCTGAAGACGCATCGGCAGGAAGAGTGGAGAACGTCTTAGTGAACCATTTCCCAACAAGCTCTGGGAGAACAGCACACTGGAAGAATTTCTTGGCACCTGCTACCGCTTCACGGATGAAATCTGTGTCTGCACAGATACGCTCCACAAACAGCTGACCTTCATTCCACACAACAAAGTCACAGTACTGCACCTTACACACCAGCATCTGTAGCTGTACTTGGTAGTAGTACATGTGGTCTTGCTTAAGATGGAGTGCTCCGCCGGACTTTACTAGACAGAACTTCCCTGAATCGGCAGCATCATGCAGGCTACTGTCTCGGCACCCGTACGGGCACTTCACTTCCACCACGCCGTTGCCACAGCAGGAGCACTGCACAAGGGAGTCAGGAGTAGCGCCAAGATATGGATAGTCCGGATGAATTACAAAGCCACTGGGCAGTACTTCAACCTTCTGATGTGTTGCACTGGCATGTTCACTATAGTTGTCAATTGCCTTCTGCTCGTGATCACATCCCCATTGTGTGGCTTTGCTACGAAACTTGTGTGCCTCAGGGTAACACACAGAGCGGACTAAGGACGCAGAGGGCTGGCTAATATCCGTGCGAACAGCAGACTTCAACTTTGAAGCTGTGATCCGGCCGGCGCGAAATTCAAACCAGGCCTTGGAATCTGCCTGGTTCCGCGTAGCCTGTTCCACAGCGCGTGCTTCCTCCTCTGAAACACAGACCGCTGGAAATACTGCCTCGCAACGAACGAGCAGGTCCCCAAAACTAGCATCCAGCATGTCTGGTTCGTACAATAAATCCAAAATGGGTGGATATCCCTCGGGCTTGGAAGGTACGTACCTATCGCAGAACCCGGGAACAAGGGAGAGTAATGACGGTTTACCGGCTTGACATAAATTTCCATATAGTTCACCCAGCTCAGCACTGGAGGGTTGCTTAATATCAGCAGGGACCTTCTCCTCCGACCTACGGCGCTTGCTCCCATGCTGTTTAGTGTCGGGTGCAGTGAAGTTTATGTCACGAATCCTGGCATACTCCACCTCCTTCATTGAAGGAGTTGACCATTGGCACGGCAATGAAGTGCTTCCTGTGTTCTGAATCAGCTGCGTTCTAGAATACAGGCTGAACAACAGTGCAGCAACGTGAGAACAAGACTCACCAAGACCAGCCATGCAGGTGCAGTGTGCACAAATCACGCTACCGTCGTTTTGCGCAGCAATCCAGGGTTGCAGATGGGTGCCGGAAACTGACTGGGAATGGCGGACTTTGGCGATGACAAACTTACTTGCTGTCACATGTGTCAGATTCGGACGCTGGAAACGCACGAACATCGCCGACCCAGCCACTGACAAGGTATTTGTAGCCTTCCAAGCTCTTGTAGGCCTTGAGCTGCTCCTTGGTGTAGGGGCTGGGCGCGTTGACCAAGAAATTGTAAATATCGGGATAGTCCACAAGTGGAAATTTATCTTCCTCTAAAAAAATACTTCTGGGCAGGTAAGGATCACTCGAGTCTGGTGCAACGCGCTCGAGCTTTTCACGGTACCGGCATTTGCTGGAGTCATCTAACTCGTCATACACTTTTGAAAACTTGGGAGAAGTCATGGCCACTGATTCAGCGTTCGTACAATAGTCCTTTGTAAAGAACAGAAGAGGAACGTATAGTAACAGCGATACAGGAAATTTCCTTCGTGAAATTATTCCAGGCACATGTACTTCTTTTGAACTTTTCATCTCTTTTGCCACCCCTGCGGAGCGCGGCCGCTTTGGCCGCCTACACGCCGCCTGCACGTGATCCTTTCGCATAACCTCTTATGCGCATCACCAAGCTGCGGGCACTGACTGACTGAGCGCTCTACTACTGTAGCTCGGTCCCAGGACGAATGATGCGCAATGCACACGTTGGATGTTGCCACCGAAACGTCCCACTAATACTAATAGTGCATCCTAGCTATGATCGGCCTACACTTACTGACTTAGCTAAGATCAGAGTGTATTATAATTATGGTTGGTTCATTTTAATTCACACAATAAACGGGAACTAGGCCCAGTTATATCAAGAGTACATACCCTCCCCCCCCCCCCCCCCCCCCCCAAGAGTGTGCAACTCGACTATGCATGGGTGCTGTCCCGACAGAATTTCAAGTTCAATGACTTCATTTTTATGATGCAATGCGCACTGTATAGCCCTTGGCGGATTACGCCGGCATAATATTTGGCATAATCTTGGGATTTCGTCAAAAAATTATGCTCCGGCATAATAATTATACGGATTCCAACGTGAAAGGTCGGCATAATCTTTCGGTTTAGACAAAACTTATGCTCACTTTGTAGGGGCATAATACAGCTTTGTCAGAAAGCCTGCAGATGGTTTATTTTAACCCTTTCACCACTGTCGACGTATATACGTCATGACGTGTGCACCTGCCCCATGGCCCACTGACGACGTATTATTATTATACGTCCTCGGTGTACGTCGCGTTTGTACTGATGCCTCAACATCAGTGGGGCCTGGAACTGTTCCTCAGTGGGCTGAAGGCCCTGGTCGACGTGTACGCAGCGCATGTGGCCAGTCTGCACAGCAGAACAGCCGCGAGCGCGAGCATCGAGTTTGAAGTGCGTATTTTGGCATATCGTTCAAATAAATTGTTTTGCTCAAAGTTCGTTTTCGTCATCTTGTCCTGCTGTTTCTCGGCAAGGTAAGTAGCTCAACTACTCTGTGTCGATGGAAGGAATCCTGTGAAGCAGTGTGAGGCGGGTAATGACTCTGAGGATGATTTTGGAGACAGCGAAATTGTGTCGGAGTCGTTTTCTGAGGATTACGAATTTGCTGCTATTCAAAAGATCGCAGCTGGCTCGGACGCAGGGGATGCTGGAGACGAAAGTGATTTGGAAAGCGATGCTGAAGTCTCTGACACCTAGGCATGGTGTTCTGAGCAGGAGCTATCTGTCGTGAGCCCGTTTGCTGAAGTTCCTCAAGTAAACTGCGATCAAATTTGAAGGTCAGATTTTTGAAAATATTTGAATTTGAAATCAAGTGTACTGGTCAGATATGCATGCAGATCACAATAGAGATGTGCATACATGTAAGTATTGTATGTTGAGTACAGAGCCAGGCACCTACAGGATGGAGATTGCTATCTAATATGAATCCAGAATAATCCAGAATAGTCAACAATTGTGCAATTTTGAACCACTATCAGAAATTGCACAGCCGATTGTTTCTTGAATTTTCATGCGTACGTACACCGGTACGAGCATGCACTCGGCTGTTTAGGGAATGCTTCAGATTACTTTGGTAGCTGGATTGTCTTGCCAGTGAGTGTCCAAATCAGAGAATGAGCTGTATTGCATTCTCCATCAATATGACTTTACCTGTGCCGCGTACGTACGTACGTACGCGTGCGGCCAGTGATGATTCACCATGGGATGCGCCGAGCACAGTGAGCCAACCGCTGCCACTGCACTGGCTGCTATTATAGCTGATGCAGTTGCTGTGGTTGCTACTCCAGTTACTCGGCATCCTCACTGTCCATCACATGTTTACGGTCTTGAAGTAGGTAGGGCTGCTGGAGGATTCAAGCTTTACGAGGCGCCCGAGAAAAAAGAAAGACCCATTCTGGATCGCGCAGTCGCATATGATTCAAGCACCGTATAAAACGAGTTGCTGTACTCTAGTCTAGGTTGCCCTAGAACACCAGGATCATATCAAGCTTGTTATATGGCACTTCTCCATTCTGAAGCCAACACTTCATTGCATTCCCAACTCATCACAACCACGCGCTCTTCAGCCGAACCATACAGACACCAGCAAGGACACTTCCGTTGAGAGATAATATTGCTCCACGCCTCTAGACAGCTGTTTCGCTCCCTGTCGGAGCTCATCAGTAGAGGATAATAATGATGATAATGGAGGAATGATCATTCTTATACACCAGAAATGGCGCAAATGCGCGCTTTCCACATAATATCAATGGCATATGCAAGCTGCTAAAATGGTAAAGTGTGAGAACAGCGATAAATAATCATAGTACGCGCTCATTGGTGGAGAAACACACCACACAAGCGACGAAAACCTGACGCGGAATACTGATGCCATTGGAAAGTACATGTATGTTGTTTATTATGATGATGTTGCAATGTCCATGTATGCAGGCGAGGCGACACTCACCGCCGAGATCCCCCAACGCGACAGGCTCGGTTGCCGTTCAGGATTCACACCGACCTGTCCGCCCGTCAACAGGATCGACAGCGGGAGGCCCCACTGATGCCGATGTCGATGCACACCAGGAAACTTGTAGTCGTGAGTGTGATACTAACAGGTCTAGTAGCAACCACTGACAAACGAGAGGCCAGCTGGGGCATTCACTCCAGTCAGGGATGCTTGGTCGACGCTTCGTATCAGCAGCTCAGCTCAGTTTGATCAAAGACGTTGCAGATGTGTCTTGCTTTCCTCCTTCCTTCTTCACCGACTCGTCTTTGTCACCTCTCCTTCTTGCTTCACCGACTCTTCGTGTCCACTCTGCTCTGCCACTAACGGCGCATTAAAACTTCAGAACTAAATATTGCAACAGAGCTTTCGGCCATATTTTCAATTCATTGCATTCCCAACTCATCACAACCACGCGCTCTTCAGCCGAACCATACAGACACCAGCAAGGACACTTCTGTTGAGAGATAATATTGCTCCACGCCTCTAGACAGCTGTTTCGCTCCCTGTCGGAGCTCATCAGTAGAGGATAATAATGATGATAATGGAGGAATGATCATTCTTATACACCAGAAATGGCGCAAATGCGCGCTTTCCACATAATATCAATGGCATATGCAAGCTGCTAAAATGGTAAAGTGTGAGAACAGCGATAAAAAATCATAGTACCCGCTCATTGGTGGAGAAACACACCACACAAGCGACGAAAACCTGACGCGGAATACTGATGCCATTGGAAAGTACATTTCAGGTTCAAGTTCAGGTTTTCGTCGCTTGTGTGGTGTGTTTCTCCACCAATGAGCGCGTACTATGATTATTTATCCCTGTTCTCACACTTTACCATTTTAGCAGCTTGCATATGCCATTGATATTATGTGGAGAGCGCGCATTTGCGCCATTTCTGGTGTATAAGAATGATCATTCCTCCATTATCATCATTATTATCCTCTACTGATGAGCTCCGACAGGGAGCGAAACAGCTGTCTAGAGGCGTGGAGCAATATTATCTCTCAACGGAAGTGTCCTTGCTGGTGTCTGTATGGTTTGGCTGAAGAGCGCGTGGTTGTGATGAGTTGGGAATGCAATGAATTGAAAATATGGCCGAAAGCTCTGTTGCAATATTTAGTTCTGAAGCCAACACTGACCAGTTATAGCACTGCTTGCCATTGCTTGTCTGATCTTTGTCGTCAATTGCCTAAATTGAATGAATTTTGAGGAAAAAATCGTCAAAAGTCGCATATCTAAATATGGTGTTATGAGTCTCGTACAATGAAATCCTACAAAATTTCTTTGGATTCACAGTGCATATGTCCATACCCAACATCTCCAATCAATTTTGGACCAGAATATGCATTTTCAAAAATTGCCATTTTTGGCCCAGTGGGAGGTGATTTTCCGGTCAAGTGCTCTTGCGTACACCAGTCCCCTGGTCACCGTGCCTGCAGGGTACAAATTACTAGCCTATTTTGATCTTTTTTGGGTGCAGTCCTGAGTCCTGTCACTCGAGTTGATCTCGAGTTGAACCTTTGTGTGAAAGTTGTCGCCTGCTGGCGTGGTGACCAGGTGATTTGGGCACCCAGGAGCACGTGACCACTTGTTCAACCATGTTCGATTGGGAATAAAGGAGGAACGCTGCATCGCAGCCTTTTCGGACCAAAACCAGTCGACTCAGCGTCCAAAAGACTACAACATATGGGCCAATCGCGGTCATTTGTGCTTTTATAAGAACGAAATGGCGCTTTTAGTGACATTTTGCATACAAATCCCCATCTAGTAGGGCACAGTCACCCAGTTTCGGTGGAAATGCGCGAGTTCGATTGGGATTCAAGTAGGAAGGGAGCGTCTCAGCTTTCTCGGACCAAGACCATTCGAATCAGCACCCCGAAGACTACAACTGATGAAATTTTAATTTTTGCCTTAACTTCATCTTTAAGGCTAAAATCAAAATTTTACGAGTTGTAGTATCGAGTGCTCGATATCGCGATTGGCCTTGGCACGCCGCTTTTGTGGAGGGTAACAAGTTGGTGAAGGTTGTACAAAATGCTGTAAAAAGTGGGTGTTTTGAACTTTACGTCCTGGTTTGCCTTTCTAGGACCCATAAATGGAAGAGTGCGTATTCCTTTCTCATCTTGGGTTCATATCTGAACATGTATCATGGCTATGCTTCACTGAAAAAGAGCACCTTTTGCCTGTTTTCACTGAAAAAAGAGCACTTCAAGTTTTCAGCATATTTTGAGGGACGGGAAAAGCACTAGGTGCGAATTAAAAGAGCACCTTTAGGAAAGGGCTACCGACAGACCGACTGAGACAGGGCAAGTCACAGACATTGCGATGTGCGAAGCAACAATTTTAATAACACGGAGGAAGTGAATCTAGTATAGTGTTTTGTGATGGCTATGATCTATAGGTCACGTGACCTGTTCACCACCCAGATCATACTACAGTCGTCGCCCAAAAAATCCGGCCAATGCCATGGATACAGTGGCACTGGTACTGGTAGCGCGCGTACTGGTATGGTGCGCGTTCCCCCGCGGTACCCATACAGCTACCGGTAGCTTAGCTTTGCATTGACCGGAATTTTTTTGGCGACGACTTTAGTACAGTGTTCTTTGTTGTCTATGATCTGTAGGTCACGTGACCTGCTCACCGAGTACATGTACTACCGTATAGTAGAACAGTGTTCTGTGACGTCTACTTCGAAGTATGATCCATGGCACAGGTCATGTGACCTGTTCACCAGCACTACGTACTATAGTGTTCTGTGATGTCTACTTCGAAGTATGATCTATGGCACAGGTCATGTGACCTGTTCACCAGCACTACGTACTATAGACTATAGTGTTCTGTGATGTCTACTTCGAAGTATGATCCATGGCACAGGTCATGTGACCTGTTCACCAGTACTACGTACTATAGTGTTCTGTGATGTCTACTTCGAAGTATGATCCATAGGTCATGTGATCTGTTCACCGAGTACTCCCGTATGGTACAATGTTCTGTGATGCATGATGTCGATGATCTATAGGTCATGTGACCTTTCCCCCAGTAGAATGATCATCTACTCACTTTCGGCACCCATGAAAAACCTCAGCAATGCTATCATGTAGACGGATATTATGACCAGTGCATATTGTCCCTATCTGGACTCAGCTACCTGAAGTTTTGGCAGCAAATGACTTACCCTCTCGCCATGAAACTCGGAGTAAAAATTGAGCACTGTTTTCCAGCATTGAGAAACTCGGGTATACGAATTGTTGATTGGTCCTATAACTTCACAAGTAGAGGCAACGGTTTCAAAAAGGACATAGGTTGCAAGCCGGAACGGACTCAATATTCACTTTCTCTCTTGGTATTTTGATTAGAAAACATAATGTCACAGTGATGCTACGATGTGTTATACTCCGGGCCAACATTTCATTGCTCTGCGATGACCAGAAGCGCCATACCAAGCAGGTGAGTTTTTGACGTCGAGCTTCGCACTGCGACTTGAGTTTTCCGACTTTCGAAAAATAAACTTCTTGTCGCAGGTAAACAGTGGCTCGCCTCTCGCCAATAAAGCACCGCATACCAATTAAAACTAAAGGAAGCACACACACAAGGCTTATTGTTACTCTGTACTGACCGTCGTGGAGCGATAGCAATTACCTAATTTCAGAACTCAGAGTGAATTGGACGTCCACTCTAAAACCTTTCCGGTTTTGGAGCCACCTCTGATTTGAAGCAAACAATTGGGCAACTTGGAGGCAATGGGTCAACACAACGGAGTGGCTTAGTTCGATTGACTCTGGCCTCAGAGCAAACTTCAACATGCCAGTTTCCTTCCACAAACATAATTTCGAGTGAACAATCCACGCTGATCATCGGTTTGGGTCTATACTAATGTGGCTGTAAAGCCGTTCTGGTATCGAACTGTCGCCTCTACATGCATAGTCGTCGCTCAAAAATCCTGCCAACGCCAATACCTATCACGTTGAGCGAGTGGTCGCCCTATCCGAGCTGTTTTCTATGGAAATGCTTCCGTGATAAGGAAAAGTGGTCATCATGGTCGAGTGGTCGCCATATCCGAACGGTCGCCATCACAGGTTTTACTGTAGTCGTCGCTAAAAATCCGGCCAATGTCGGTACCAACCCTATCAAGAAGTTCTCGTCAGGTGTGTGTGAAAGTGGTCATAATGCCCGGCCTGCTTTATGGCTCCCGCTGCTGTTCAGCCGCAATGCGAGATGGTCAACTGAAACGACTGCAAACCGCGCAAAACAGAGCCATCTGCTGTATCGATGGCAATCCGCCCCGGACAGCCATGCAGCCGCTGCTCACGGCTCACTCCCTGTACCGTGTCAGCGAGCTCTACAGGCAGAACATATTGATCACCATCTGGCGGCGCAGCCACGCCCGCGCCAGCCCTGTGCTCGCCCAGCTTCTGACCCTGGCACAAGGCACCCCTACCCGCCATCAGCAGTTAAATGGCCTACTAAGCCAGGCAAACTGTAGCCGCCGCGGTCAGCGGAGATTTTCTGTTGCAGGCGCTCTGCTGTGGAACGCTCTCCCTGGTGAGGTCCGCACAATTACCCGGCTACCTGGGGTTTAAGTTTCCTGATAGCAACCGAACTCAGTTTAGTCCACGCCGACAACAATTTTCACAGTCAGTGTTTCTTTCGCATGGTATGAGAATATTCCCATTATTCAAAATAAACTTGGTCAGAACTGCAATGACAGAACCGTACACTACATATTTGAGAGAATCGATAGCGTCATTATTTCGGTAATTTGTCACATACAAGTACACGAAACCCGATTGGGACTGCTGGAGCCAAGATCGGATTTTCACGCTGTGGCGAGAGAAATAAAAGGGGTGTTTGAGGTAATCTGGTTTCCCAGGTGTAAGAACAGTCTCAACAGTTGATTCGACTAAAAAAGGGCATAAGATGCTGCGGCTGCCCCCAAAATCACTACAGACAATGTTCTGTCACTGATCCAGTCAGGTGAAGGAGACCAACTGCATGCTCTTATATTCTGAGTACTAACTTTAATGAAGGGGCAATGCTGAGGTTCATAGTTGAACACATTGGGAAGCATTCACGGAGTTTATGTTCAATATAACAGGGGCAAGGATGAGAGGTTCATGGTCACACGCATTGAGAAGCAATCATGGAGTTGATAATCATTTTATGAGGGAGGCAATTACAAGGTTCATTGTGGAACACAGTGGGAATCATTCGTGGAGTTTAGGTTCACTGCTTGATGGCGCACTGGTGATGGTGCATCATCTTCTTGACGCGCTTACGCAGGCGTAGCGTACGCTTGGCTTGACGCTGCTCCTTGTCGGCCGTGAAAGCAGGGCACAGGCACTGCTTCTTCAGCATCACGCGTACCGCACCCTTCTTCTTCAGGAATGCGAATGGGTTTTTCTTGGCCTGCACCTTCTTTATTGCCAGTGCGCGATGGGGCATTCTACTGTTGCGCGCGAACTGCTGTCCACGGCGTTGCATCTGGAAGCGACCATGACTCTGCATTCTCTTAGCGAATGGCGACTGCTGGCGCATAGGTCCTCGCCGCTGGGGCCCCCTGCGATCTTCATCATCGTTGCCTTGACGACGCTGAGGTCTAGATTCTTCGTCATTGTCACCGCGTTGTCGATCACCGCCTCTGTTGCCGCGGTAACCGATGGGATCGACATCGATTTGCCCAGAAGCATACCGGTTCTCCGAGTCCAGGGTACCTTCCTTCAAGCCAGAGCCGTCACCGGAGCTCTCTTCCTCCTCCTTGATGGGCTCTTCCTCGTCCATGACCTCCTCCTCCTCGTCTTGTTCTTCACCCTCGCTCATTGTGGCTTCGTCGTCATCGTTTTCCATCTCGGCGTCGACTTCCTTGTCCTCAAGGCCAACGCTGCACTGGCTGATGACCTGACAATGGCAGCCACGTTGCTTGAACATGGAGTCGTACACTGGGCTGCTGGGCAGGCGACAGTATCCCAGCACTTGCACCTCGTCATCGTCGATGGACGTGTCGTTCTGTGCCTCAGCGTCGCTGAAGTTCATCATCATCATCATTGCCGGCCGGCTTCGGTTCATGCCCATGGGGCGCTGTCCTCGTTGTCCTGGCCCTCGTTGCATCGCCTGTTGTCGTGGGCCTCGCTTGCCACCGCAGCATGCCGTCTTGCCATGAACCATGAAGCACTTCTGTCCGGCCGGGCAGGACGAGTCGGTACAGGCATCTGTTGGAAAAAGCAAACAAGCATAAAGTAGTACATTACCAAATATGTAAGGTGTCATGACACGAGGCATTGTGCGTTTAGACTCAAGGCCACATGCGTACTACCATTGCGCAAGACCATGTGTGCATTGGCTCCCAATCATGCGTGTTCACCTATGCGTGGTTGGTAAACATCGCTTCAGACAGAGATGACAGCATATCAGCCTGGACACTGTTCTAAGCCTCACAGTCTATTTCAACTTCCTAACGTAAGAGCCATGGCAATAATACGTACACTCCACAGACATCACAGGCTCACATTACACAACGGAATACTTCTATGCTTACCTTGTTCATGACCCAGGTGCTTCAGCAGTCGTCCGAGGTGATGTGCTTTCTTGGCCTTCCTCGCTTGCCCTGGGCGCGCTCCAGGCTGGCGGCGCTCGTGATCACGCTCTCCGTCTCGTCGGCCAACTGGCCGCCGTTCCGGTCGCTCGCCTCGGTTCATGCCGGGTCGTCGATCGCTCAGAGTGACGTTCTGGTCGCTTGCTCCCTGCTCCTCATCACCGTGTGTGTCCCTAGACCAGCGGCGCTGCTGTTTCTGGCCATGACGGCGGAGTGGGTGCGAGCGCTGAGGGCGGCCGCGCGAGAATCCACGGAATGGTCTGACCGGTCCTCGGATCAGGCGGAGCAACTGAACAAGGGGTTTGAGGGCTTGGAAGCGGCCAAGGTTCTGAGCCCGACGAATGGGGTGTCGCTGCTGCCGGAAGGCCCCTGGTCGGCGTTGCTGTTGCTGTTGTCTTTTCTTCTGCATCATGTGCGTCTTCTTGTTCACTTTCTCCTTGAGCGCCATCAGCTCCAGAGGGTGACGTGGCAGCTCAGTACAGCACACCGCCGTGTCGTCTTTGACGGCGCACACTTCATCTCCCACGCACTCTACGCTGTCACAGGGAGCTGCACCAAACACGTGAAAATCAAACAGATTCCATCATCCATTCATCGCTCTGCAGCCCTGCTACGATTTGACGGTAAATGTTTGCGCATTTGCACTGCTTAGCATACGGGTATACCGTTTGAAAGTTCCCGACCAGACTAAAAGAAGTTTATTAAACAACAAATCCAAACAAGCACACATTCAGCGTTTTCACCACATGCAAAATCATGCCGGGAGAAGGCTGGCCAGCTTGCACTAAAAGCAAACGCTAGTGCAACAGTTTTAAAAACAACTTCCAGTAATGCTTCCACGTAGAATCTACATGGCAAACACTGGTGAAAAAATCAAATAGAGACACCCTACTATACTCTGGGTTTGGTCTCCCCAAATACGAGCTAGCAAACTAGTCTCAGTACCATTGTCTTTCATTATTATTGAATTTTACGATTTGGGTACGTGAAAATAGGCAAAAAAACTTACATTCTTCCTCGTCGCTCTCAAGATCTGCACACATCGGACAGCAGTCGCTCGCGAAGTGGATTGGATTTTCGCAGTCCTCCGGCAAGTCATCACACGTGACGTTCTCGCAGGAGTCGGCCAAGTCTGAACAAAAAAGTAACAGACGTGCACGCACCCAGACCAAAGCAGGCAAACATAATAATTATGACATTTCACCAGTTGCTTTACTGTTGCTTGCAAGTACTGAGTTTGGGAGAGAAAAAAGCAGTAGTCATACATTACAGTTGGCCTTATTTCCTTGCCGTTCCCTGTGCAAGAACTAATGAAGTACACTGTACCATTGTCTTTCATTATTATTATTTTACGAGTTGGGTGTATGTATGTGAACTTAGGTAAAAAATTATTTCAACATATCCATAGATTGCTATGGACTCTCTTACTCAGAGTGTGAGCGAAGTTAGGATTGTGGTGTCCAAGCCCTGCGCGGCGCGGGGGGGGGGGGGGGGGGGTAGGTCATGCAGTGACACGATGTGGTGTCCGTGGAGTACCCCTGGCTTGCTCACAAAGTGTCAATCAAAACTAGCAACTACAGTCATAAATAATTATGTGCAGTCACATTCTTCAATAATTAGTCATGTCATTGCGGAGACTCAAGGCAAGTGGGGTAATAATAATTATTATGGTTTACTAGTACTTCCACTTTGACGTGTAGAATTGGTCATTTTACATGTACATGTATGCCTAATAATTATTGATGACTTATGCGAAGAATCAGTGTCTTACCTTCCATCATTTCGTGCTTGATCGACATTGCCTTGTCCTGTTTCTTCTCTGCCCGCGCTCCCTGTCGACGCTCTGGGCCACCCATCATGAGTGGCCTCTGCGGACCTGCCCGGGACCCTCCCTGTCGTCTGCTGAGCAGCGCAGCCAGTGGGCGTTGACCTGCGGGTCCGGGACGGCGCGCTGCACCAGGGCGCCGCGCAGCGCCGGGGCGTCCCCGTGCCGGGGCACGATCTGCGGCCTTGGACAGCTTCTTCTTCAGCAGCTGTAGACGCGATGCTGCCCTCGGGTTACTTTCTTGCTGACGCTCGGCAAGACGCCCTGCTCGGTTAGCGATCTTGCTCACTTTCTTGCCAGCCTTCTTGAAGATCTTCTTGTTCTTCTTGGCAAACTTGAGAACCTTCTCGGACCTCTTTCTGCACATGTCCTGGGGTACGTCATCATCCTCTTCGTCCTCACTATCCCCTTCCTCGGGTTCAACGTCTTCCGAAACCTCTACTATCTCTGGTTCGTCTTCTTCACCAGCGGAGGCGTCGGGTGGAGATTGGACATTGGGTTCCGCTTCGGTGCTGTTATGCGACATAGGTGGTCTCCTTCCTCCGGACGGTCGACCCACGCCTTGGGGACGACTACGCTGGCCCTCGGCGGCGGCGGGACCGCGGACATGCAGCTCAAAGCTTGCAGCCAGTGTTAGGCACAAGGCCAGGGTTGCAAGAGCAAGGAGACGCATCTTACCTTTCGGACGTACCGATCTAGATGTCACTTTCTTAAAACAACGTCAAATTAATGTTTTTAGTTGATTCTCGTAGTTTGGTAAGATATCGCGGAAAGAAACTAAGCAAATACAATAACTGGTGATGGGCCCTGCTCTCCAGAAGATGAATAAAACTCGCTACCGCCTGGCCTGTTTTATAAGCGAGATTGGGCTCGGGGCCGTTCGTGATTGGCTGGTCCAGTTGAATCTCGCTCCGGGATAACGAATTTGCTGTTCCATGCAGTGCTGGGCGACTGGAAGTATTGACGTGAGCGAATATGTCCGACTTCTGTCGGTAGAACAGCGTGTGGCTGGATGGTACGAAGTGGAGCGGTGTCGCTTCAGGGCCTTCTCATGAGACTGATCTCGGACAAGTCATGACTCAGTGACAGAGAAAGCAATGCTAGGTAGTAGCAGTAGCACTAGTAGTACAGTACTTGTAGCATGGTCTTATCATTTCCTGCATATTCCTTGTCCCACATCTCCAACGCCTATGGCCGTGGTCTGAGTGAAGTCGTTAGCGATTTGCTGACGCCCGCAGCAAGTGGATGTCAGCAGCCGTCCGTTCAGTTCGCTGATGCAAGGAAAACAATGACACGGGTATTATGTGATTTTAACAGGTGAACATGTGCACAGGCCTACGCAATAGCATTAGCGGACTGCTGATGCGAACTCGTTGCTATGGCTGCGTTCCACGAACGCATTTCAGAGAACACCATGTCACTAGATCTCGGATAATGACCACTGTGTGCTGACTGGCTAAAATATAATCATGTAGCCTTGAATGTAGGTGTTCAATCCCGTACCAGTTTACACTCACAAGCGATTGCAGTGCTTCTATCAGCAACACGCCAAGAGACCTGTTTGAAAGCCCTACATTCGAGTACCAATGTGTGCTATGGATGCACGTTCACCTGTCACTTCATTCGGCCATCCTACCAGTCTTTGCTGACGGTTGTGACATGTATGATGACGGCAGCTCGGCCAGGGGGAATTCACTGGGTCTTTCTGCAGCGAAACGCTGCCAGCGTGTGCGCATTCGTGCCCTGGGTGCCCTGGGCCGCACCAACTCACGCCGCTCATTGCAAACCAGGTACGGAGCAGTACAATGCAATCGTAGGTCATGATTATGATCACTGGCTACACTCGTACATGATCGTTCGACGAGACAACTCCAGAACTCGGAATCAAATATTGGGAAAGAAATCGCTCTTATTGCATTCAACTTTGCTCATCGAGCTGCAGAGAGTGCTCATTGTCATGGACATACCTTGAAACATGGTAGAACCAGCGGAGAATGTTCAGGGCTTCCACTATACACTGGTACAGGCCCGACACAAAACATCAAGTGTACCCATCTCGCCAGACTGAAAGTAAAGGAACGCACTCCATTCTCCGTTGCAATGAGCAGTTTTGCGAACGTCTGCAGTGATTATGAACATAATTATACTGTGCAGTAATCTTGATCAACGGAGCCATTGTAGGCCATCTTAAAGGACGTAATATACGTGTTTCTCTTTCTCTCTCTCTCTCTCTCTCTCTCTCTCTCTCTCTCTCGCTTTCTCTCTCTCTCTTTCCCGTTGTCTATCTCTCTCCTTCTCCCTTACGAAGGTGTCCTATTAACTCTCGTAATCATTCCAAGTCTCTCTCGCTTGCTCTTCATATCTCTCTTACTCTCTCTAGCTCTCTCTATCTATCTACTATCTCTCTCTCTCTCTCTCTCTCTCTCTCTCTCTCTCTCTCTCTCTCTCTCCCTCTCTCTCTCTCTCTCTCTCTCTCTCTCTCTCTCTCTCTCTCTCTCTCTCTCTCTCTCTCTCTCTCTTCTCTCTCTCTCTCTCTCTCTCTCTCTATCTCACACTCTCTCTCTCTCCCCTCTCGCTATGTGTGTTTCCGTGTCTGTCTATTTGTGTGTGTGTGTATGTGTGCGTCTCTCTCTCGCTCGCTCTCCATATATTTCTCTCTATCTTTCTCTCTCTATCTATCTACTATCTCTCTCTCACTCACTCACTCACTCTCTCTCTCTCTCTCCCTCTCTCTCTCTCTCTCTCTCTCTCTCTCTCTCTCTCTCTCTCTCTCACACACACACACTCTCTCTCTCTCTCCCTCTCGCTATGTGTGTTTCCGTGTCTGTCTATTTGTGTGTGTGTGTGTGTGTGTGTATGTGTGCGTCTCTCTCTCTCGCTCGCTCTCCATATATTTCTCTCTCTTATTCTCTCTCTATCTATCTACTACCTCTCTTTCTCACTCACTCTCTCTCTCTCTCTCTCTCTCTCTCTCTCTCTCTCTCTCTCTCTCTCTCTCTCTCTCTCTCTCTCTCTCTCTGTGTCTTTCTCTGTCTCTCTCTCTCTCTCTCTCTCTCTCTCTCTCTCTCTCTCTCTCTCTCTCTCTCTCTCTCTCTCTCTCTCTCTCTCTCTCTCTCTCTCTCTCTCTCTCTCTCTCTCTCTCTCTCTCTCTCTCTCTCTCTCTCTCTCTCTCTCACTGTATCTCTCATGCAAAAAGTAGATGGCTCTTGGCTTCAAGACCACCACAAGCTATGGCTTTACCACCATCTTGTAGTGCCCAAGCTTTCTTGGTCTTTCCAGGTTCTTGAACTCACACAAGGTTTTGTACGTGAACTGCACTTTATGTGTTTACCATTTCTGAAGAAATGGTCAGGCCTACCTCGATGCGCAAACTCTGCCATTCTTTTTATTGGCAGTCGCAAACGCTTTGGCTTACGCCTCCACTACCTTCCTACGGTGTGGAAAAAGTGCCAGTCCATCAAATGGCACATTCTTCGATCGAGTGGGGACGCGCGCATGAGGGCGCTGTACACTCTGCGTCGGAGTAAGGATGCGAAGCTGACAAAGCGATATGCGGCGACAATAGAGCTGGAGTGTGCAGAGGCATCAGTAGGTTCAGGGACTCTCCGTCCACCGTCATCTTCAAGTCATCGTGCAGGGTTGGGTGCTCCTGCTCCGAAGCAGCATTCCAAACCCCCGAGGAAGGATCTCCTTCAAACATTTGAGGAGATCAACGCGCAGGAGCAGATTTTGAGGCTGAAGACTCTTCAGGTGCAAGGCAAGTGGTTGGAGTGGACATCGGTGATGTGGCAGGACCTCTCGTGGAAATCCCTTTTGTACGGTGGTACTGGTAAGGATTTGAAATTTCTTCTCGCATCAACCCTCGACGTGCTACCTTCTCCGACGAACCTACGCCGTTGGGGAAACACCGTAGTGGATCCGTACTGTAGTTTGTGCCGTACCTGGGCCTGTACTACGCGCCACGTGCTTGGCGCTTGTCGCGTAGCGCTGGACCAGGGACGTTACACCTGGAGGCACGACAACGTACTCGGGGTCATCGTCAGGAACATGCGTGAGGAGATTCGAATCCGCACTGCTGCAAACACCGTACAAACCGAAAATTCAAATGAGCTTGACTTCATCTCGTTTTGCAAGGCGGGAGAGAAGCCAGTTCGCGTTCAGCCCAGACGAAAGTTGGTTACGACTGATCTCCTGTCAGCGGCCTCAGACTGGAAACTTCTTGTCGACTCAGTTAGTGCAAAGATTTCTTTCCCTAGCTGTGTTGCACTTACCACCCTAAGACCAGATATAGTTCTGTACTCTACGAGTCGTAGGATTGTATTCTGGATGGAGTTGACAGTTTGTGCTGAGGACAGATTCAGTGTCAGTAACTCGCGGAAGGACAGGCGGTATGCGGATCTGGCCGATCAATGCCGAGCAAACGGGTGGCAGGTCGTTTCTTTTTCGGTTGAGGTAGGTGTGCGTGGTTTCATCCCGGACTCTCTTCGGAGGGCTCTGAAAGCGCTTGGATTTTCTAATCGAAGAATAAAATTTATTTGTAATTTGTGCAGTAAGACGTCTCTGCGAAGCAGCTACATCATCTGGTTGCGGCGTCAACAAAAACACTGGTCGGAAGATCCACTTTTCTGAGGTACTGTATGTGGGGCTCCGTTTATTGAGGTGCGTTGAAATTTATTCTCTTTATCTTATTATTTCTTTTCTATAATTTCCCCATATGAGTTCCTATCAGTTGCTGTGAACACCTTGAGTGGAGAGCGCTTGCTCGAGCGTTGAACCGGGTTCTTAATCCACCATACCCAGTTCGCAAGGCTGGGCGGGGTTGTGAGCAGGCTTTCATTTCATCTTTTCTTATTATTTCTTATTATTTCTGCTTTTCATCTCATTACAAAAATTCTGCGCTTTTTCTCCATCTGCGCATAAAATCTAGACTGACAACCTGCTTGTTAAATCATGCACCTGCTTTCAGGCGTAAAAACCCTGTTGTAGAGGTCTCAGTCCTCATTTGTTAGACTTACCTGTCTTTATAAATGTAACTTACTCTCTCTCTCTCTCTCTCTCTCTCTCTCTCTCTCTCTCTCTCTCTCTCTCTCTCTCTCTCTCTCTCTCTCTCTCTCTCTCTCTCTCTCTCTTTGTGTCTTCTACACTCCGTTACTTGTAGCTAACATCCTTATCGCCTTTTAGACTGGTCACTTTTGCTCTACACTGTAGTGATATGCCTCACATCCACATCACGCACTTCCCCACACAAGTTGAAGCCATATCAACAGTATTGACAAATCGTCTGCACTACCCATAGCTGGTTCCTACAGCCTATTGGCTTTGGCAATGATATGGACGTGATGCGCTCACCATGGGGAACCTCATCGACAGCATTTTGTTTATGGCAGCACCGTTACCATTGCCTGTTATTGTGCTGCATCATTCGGACTCATAGTTAACGCTTCTTGTTTTTGAAGCAATGAAAGCTGAATGAAGAGCTGTTTACAGGCAAAGTACAGCACCCACAACATCTCGAACTGATACCGACTGCCTGCTGTAGCACAGTGTACAGTAGTACAACATAACTGATCCATGTCAAACAAGTCACACTGCGCAGAAATCATGCAATCAATCGCTGCTTGGTCTGACTGACACAGCAGGCTGGGCATGGGGGCCGTCAAGACGATGTCCAGTCGCTGACACCTGCCTACCAGTGTAGGGCAGCACAAACCAGTACAGGAATAACAATACTTCTTACTGCTCACTGCCTGCCCGTTCTCCCTGAACTGAAGCAAGCACAAGCACTCACTGTCACAGGATGGCTACAGCATTCAGCAATATATCCGTTGGGAAATGTTGCCAATCGTCCAACAACTGTTACTTGGTCGCGTGCGTCGCGTGTGCGTGTTTCCAAGCAAGCAGCTGCGAAATGTGTCAGGGACAAATCAGGTGATCCGTTAGATTACCTGTTGTGTTTATCAAGTGCAAAGATATTTCCGTCCTGTCGCCACTACAGGCAGTACAGGCATTCATAGCGGAATGGCGATGCGACGCTTCTTGGTAGAAAGGCTGCTTAGGACGGCGCGTACCATTCTGCACCTGCTGCCAAAGGCTTGTTGATCGCGGCCTGATCGTCCGCCTGTTACCGTAGTTAACTTATAATGTACTGCTGTGTGCATGGAAATCCGGTCGCACGTCTAGCGGCCCCAGGGTGCTGACGTGGATAAGCGGCACACACATGCATTTTATGCGCTGCAGCGCGCTGGTCGCATCGAATCAACATGTGCCCTGCACGGCAGCGTTCTGTACGCGCTGAGGGCGCGGGCCCCAGTAAGTCGACCGGATTTCCATGTGCACGACAGCACAAAAAAATCAGAATCTACACTTGGACTGCGCTTGCATGTATTGAATCCAGAGTGTTTGGCATTATACTGCTTTACATGTACATTAGAACGACTGATTTTGAGTTCATTCTTGCCGTGATACTGACTGTCAGGAGCAAATCCTCTTCTACTGGTATTTTCAGACAGAATGAAGATGGTTGCCGTGAAATGAGTACCGTAGATAACACCAGTATAACAATGCAATCGGAAAAGCACCAGTACTGGCATTAGCAAGGAAAGGGATAGGTCAGCATAAGCGCCATTGAAATATCTCAGTCCAGTCGACCATGAAACGTAGAAGGCTGCTTTCCATAGCAGGAGGTGTTTGGCTGATGTTGAGATGAGCACGAATCGGCAAAAGCTCAGAAAAGCTAGGAGATCGGTGAGAAAACCGAACCCGCACTTGCATCACTCATTAGGACGTGAAAAAGCCTCTTACACGGGAAATCACAGAACATGTTGTCACGGCCCTGGCTAGAAAACTAATGAGAAAGAAAAACAAAATTAATCTTTTAGGGAAAATGAAACTTGACAAAGTGAACACAATGTATAACTCCATCACACACTAATAGGGTGAGCAACGGGACACAAGAGTAGCTTAGACTTAGAGTGCGGGAAGCGACGCGACCGGTGACAACTCTCACAGCGTTCCTTCTCATGGCAAAGGGCCGTGTGCCGGCATCACAAGATCTTCAACCATGAGCAGGAGAACTATGAATGGAATCACATACATCTACTGCAAAGCAGTGGAGTGTCCTTTGTTCAGCAATTCAAAAGACCGAAGCGAAAAACTCCGAAGGAGGAAACTGAACACTACATAATTATCATCATGAAATAATGTTGCAAGAAATTTTGTTTGGTCGCAATGTCCAGGCTAGCGAGTGTTGGAGCGAAGTGGCTGAATGTGTAGTCTTACGGGATGTCGTAACTCACTGGTCAGTCGCCAGTGTTTTGAAGCCAATTCACCAGTTGACATTGAAGAGCATTAGACCGGGGCTTGTACCTCTTATCTAGAGACCAACATCCATAGCGCCCCTTTTGCCCTAGCCTAAGAGGACTAGCAGTCCGATACAGAGAAGGTCCATTAGACATAAAACATAAATTTTGTAGAGACCATTATAGCAGCGAGAAGCAGTTGTGCTGTGTTGCCCACGAACGCCTAGAACAGTTCATACATTTTGTGAAGAATCGTGTGAGAAATTCCAAAGATGTCACTAAGATAATTGCGTGAACAAGACTGGCAAAAGAACCTTTCTCCTCTTCCTTCCTGAACCCTGTATTACAACTCCATTCCCACATTCGCTTCCATGGAATTGGTCGTGTAGGTAGTGTGTACTCCCCATTCAGTCAATGAATGTCTTGTTAGTCTGTTGTTTTGTCATTTCCTGCTTCTTTCTTCTTTTACGAATTGGGTGCGTGGTTTCAAGTAAAAAAATAATCTGGCGAATTCAAAATAGAAAACATACATAAACATACAAAACTACCGATATCACACCAAGCTACTCAGCATGCAAGGCAGATAGTCCCAAAACGCAGCCATTACGAGTGTGGACTTCAGTTCGAAACGACGGTGTTGAGCGATGTCGACCAGAAGGAGTTGTAGAAGAGCGAGAATGGTATTCCTGACGGCGCTGGGTTTTCCTCTCAAGCCCTTGCAGGATACGGTGGCCCGTGTCGATGCCGTTCCCTGCATGTGGCCAGAAGGTCGACGTTGACGTGCGGTGTCTCGAAATCTTGAAATATAGGCCGGCAGCTTGTAACGTTGAACCAGCAACGGGCCTACCCGAAGAATAGAGAAGGCGATATATTTCAACAGGTCTGCGGTAGACTTTCCAAGGCGTTTGAGTAGGACTGGGTATATCCTTGGTACGAGGAATTGCTCCAGACGCGTGTATACCGTGCTGACCAATCGGGAGAACACCGTTTGAACTACAGTAAATATCGGATATAACGTGCCCCTTTGATTTTCGAAAATGTATCACTATATCCGGTGCATCACTATAGCCGATTTGCATGTTTGACCGACACATGGCACATGACTGCACATGACATGATGCGTACACGCTGGAAAAAGCATGCTGAAAGTGCATGCATGCTCCGCGGACTGTGTACCGGTGCATGACACAGAGCAGTGCATGGCAGTGCAGTACGAGTACAGACTGTACATGTACTAGAACTTCGATACATCATGTGGCATGGCTGCTTCTTCAGGGTGTTCTCCAAAAAAAGCCTGAGCTGGATCCGTGCTCACGTAGATCGTAGATCTACTCGGTGTCCAACGAGTTGCGTAGAGCCAGAAATAGACATTAGTGGCTGTGTACGTGAGTTGGCAACATCATCGTGAGAGGCAACACAGCCAGAAACGGACAAGAGCATGCAGAAAGATCACTCTTGATCATTATATGCGATATTTTCCTGTACATTTGATATGGTTTGCTTCCTGAAGGCCATCACAATAAGCGATATATCGGTATAGCCGATAATAGTGTATATAGTGATATTTTAGCTGTATTTTTTCAGATTTGATTTTGATTTTGACGTGTTCTATCACTATAACCGGTATATCATTATATCCGGTCACTTTATAAACGATACTTACTGTACATCAATGCATTTGTCATCGACGTCCCAGACGCCTTGGCTTTGGTATAGCTGACGCGTTTGAACCAGCTCCGGTAGCCAGCATGCAGGGGCGGATCCATTCGAATGGCTGAAGATGAACTCGGATGGTCTTGAAAGGATGGTCACACACAGACGGGCCAGGATAATTCGATCCATCTGTCCTGTACTATTTTGTGGTCTGCTCGTTCCCAGGACGCCTCCAGTGCAAGCAACAGGTGGTTTCTGAGCATTGTGTGGCACCAGTAATCCACACCTGCGCACGGTCTGCTTGGCCATAGATAACAATGCCTCGCCGGTGCAGTTGGGAGTGTGTTTGCCAGATTTTATTAGTTTAGTGTACAGTGAGTGGCTTGAACGAACCAGAAACGCCAAGCCCACGAAACAATTTAATACCTTCTTTCCGCCGAGAGGACCAAAATTGAACTCCACTTTGCGACACTTTCTGATTTGCTCCCTTGCTGCCTGTTTCAACGCGCAGTACTTAACATCTGCTACATCTTCCGGAGTGCAATCACCTGCTTCGTCTGCACTTTGCCTTGGGTCAGCATTAGAGCACACATACCGCTCAAAATCCACTGTGTACTGAGGTCTGGTATCATTCACTGCTCCTTGAAGTGCACTCACCCGCCGGCCAACAGCACAGAGGAG